TCTGCAAGATTTTGCAACAGCTTCAATGTCCTTGTCAATCAATTTCCAGTAACAGTACCGTCGGGCTAGTGATTTCATACGAACAATGCCTTGATGTGTCCTGTATGTTTCCTGAAGGATGTACCGTTGCACAGGTTTTAGAATGAAAACTCTGTAAAATGGAGTTGATCTGTGTATCATTGTTACTGACTAAGATCGTCATTTCGTTAACCAGGATCATTTATTTAAAGCCCGGTGATCAGGAACAGCTGGACCCAGTTTTGAACCATCAAAAAGCTATTGACTATAAATTGCTATAAAACGCTATAAACTGTAAGCTTTTTTCCTTTGGAATGTGGAGAACAAAGTACAATATGAATAAGGTTAAAGTGAGGCTGCTATGGAGAGGAATTAACGGTGACGGAATCAAACTCTTTTGAAAATCCTTAGTTTTTCTGAACTTCTGTTAATACAACATTATACAGAATACTCTTTTACATTTAACTTCCAGCTAGGTCTACATTTAACTGAATAACAAAATGACTAAGGGTCGAGAGCGAATTATATTCTATTTAAGATATGAGCCACACCACATAATGACATGGTGATGAGAAATCTAAAAATATTGAATTTTATATTACTACTGAATAGAATTTACAAGCGTATGAACAACAAGACACAACCGTAAAATAATATTGTTGTGGGGTCGATGACCTGTCGCGACGAGGTCATTATAGCGTTGAGTTATACACATGTGCATTATGTGATGTGCGGTTAAACTCGTGATTTAGTTTCCAACGGACTACTATCATTTTGTTAAATAAAGATAATGTTACAAACACAGTATATCTCACTTTAGTACACTTGATACCACGTGAGATTACTAGAATTATAACTTTTCATATATTTGTCACGAAGTACAACAATTACAAAGCAAGGCAAGTAATGGTAATCGAGATCACATTTTAGTTTATGCAGCAAGTAGGCCTATTACATTTTACTGTAGCACTCTCTGTTGGTGGATACCCTTCAACTGTGTTAGTACAGGTAAAACTCGCCTAAGAAAACATAAAAATTAGTCCATTCATGAAACATGCAGGAAACGTAGTAATTACCATCAGGTATTGGAATCTGAAGAGTCCCTAGTGATTGTGGGGGTGGAAGTACCATTTTATGGGGTTTTAAGTTTATGGGGGTAGTGATTTTGAGAGAATTTTTTTTATGGGATCCAAGCAAGTGGGGTGTCGTTTTCTATGTTTCTTAGGATGCAGAATCGAAAAAGAACATAATAAAAGCAATACAACCTATAGTTTATTAGAAAAGACTAATTTATTAATGAAAAACTAAATATGACCAATTAATTAAGGTAAGCTAACCCAGTTCATTAATATCAATCACCTATTACAAAATTGATCATGAGTCTGTGTCACATGTTTAAGTTGTGAGAAAAAATTAACCAAGAAACTGGTAGTTACGCCTCTTTAAGCACTACGTGTCATATTGTTCATCAGCTACTAATGCAAACCTTCCATGGAATCGTCAGGGTCTCTAACTCGTTCTTCTCCATCATCGTCTTGACACTGACAGCTTAAGGCCCCGTTTATGCACCAAGTGCGGTAGCGGTAGCGACAGCGGGAGCGATTTCTAACACCATTGAGTTAAATGGGGCTGTTTATGCACCAAGAGCGATAGCGATAGCGGTTGACCTCCCGCTGCGGTTTCTAATTCGCCCGCTGTGTAGTTAGAAATCGCAGCGGTTGCTTGGGCTGAAGCCAGGGTTGCCAACTTGACCCATGCACCCGTGCACTTAGGAAAAATAGTTGTGTTAATTATTTGGCAGAGTTTGAGTTGGCAAGACTGTGTCCCCCTTCCATTCTCCTTTAACCAACCGCTACCGCTATCGCTCTTCGTGCATAAACAGACTCATTTACAGCGGGAGCGGGCCCGCTATCGCACCGCTCCCGCACTTGGTGCATAAACGGGGCCTTAGTAGTGGGGATTGGTAGCAGAAAAATATTTTAGTTCTGGAGGTGATCCTGCAACTTAGGGTGAAGATAACATATAAGACCAAGAATGTAAAACCGCCCAGACTCCAATTTTAAGGACCTTGATAGCCCGTAATGACGTCATCAATATGGCTCTAGTAAGAGGATGCTGGGTCGCTATGAATTGGTTATTATACCAAAAGGCCTTAACCGATTTTAATGAAATTTGACATACAAGTGCTTGAATACTATATCTAATCCCAGTTTGTCAATGGTTGAGTTTGATTAGGTCATTTCAAAATGGCGGCCGTTAATAATTAAAATAATTAAAAATTGTTTAATGGTTTGTTTTTTCAACTCTCTCCAGAAATCTGCAGCGATCTTTCATTTTCCTTGCAATCACAGGTTGTGATGCAATCTCTGCATTTCATCGAATAGGCAAAATACCCCCACCGCAGCAAACCTGCAGATTAAGTGAGTTTCCATTTGCCTGATTTGATTTTCAATTAAATCTATTTCAAAAACATTAAGTTTAATTAGTACCTAGGTTTGCTGCTACGGAAATGATAATAAAGTGTGTTTTTCAAATTAAAATATTAATAGCTTAGGTCAAAATAAATAAATTTGCCAAGTGTTATCAAAATATATCCATAAACGAGCAAACTAAAACAGTTTACTTATTCTCCATAAGAATAAAATGTGAATGATAAATTTTTGAATTTTCTAGGTAGGTAACCAATAACCGTACAAAAACACTTCAATGATTCATAGGTAGGCCGTGTATTCTAGGGAAAAGTACCAGTATCAAGGATCGTCGTCGAACAGTTTGTTATGAATAATTGGGTAGGCGTACGTACCCAAGTACAATGGTCCAGCGATTGCATCACACGGTGAGTAGGTACTATTGACTATATATATATAGTCAATGGTAGGAACAGAAAATAACACATTGTTACAATCAACCACTGCAGTTGTGATTTTTTACTTACCACTTTACACAACCGCCATTGAAGCGCCGTGTCAATGAGTGGAAACCATATTTCTAAGCCATTGGCGACGATCATTATTAAATTTATAGTTTCCCAGCCGTATACAACACTGATTCAAGGTCTTCTTTCTGGTTATCAAAACTCAAGAACAATTTATACACAAAGAATCTCTGGTTCCTGAACTGGATGATGCCTAGTTATTTAATTTCATTTACACGGTTACACTATTACACTATATTATTGCACTTTCGATTAATTAAATCCGTTATGTAAGAAAAACGTTTTTAATCACTTGGGATTTACATTCAAAACGTGATTGAAAAAGGTTGCGGTATTTGTAAACAACATTGGTAAACATATCAGTGACAGCTAGGAAAAATAATCTTGATCCGAACAGCTGTTCGTTCAAAAAAATTGGACGAAAACTTGACATAAATCGCACAAAACTACATTTTTGAACGTTCGTAATATTATTTACAAAGTAGTGAGGCCATATTTTAATGGCTAAAGACAATCTCGCCAATCCAGTGAATACATTAAAATGACTTGGATCTTGATAGGTACTCTCGTTTTCCAGGAGAAGATAGCGTAAAATGCCATCTTGAGTGTTACAGACAAAGGGAAAGACAGACAGACAGACAGACAGAAATTGAGATAAGACTCGTTTCTGCTTATTTAATGTATAAGACGTAAAAATAACCTAAAAATATATAATTCTGAGCAATGTACAGACAAAACTCTAATTTTATTTATATAGATAAAAATCTATTAAATAACAATAGAACAATAAGCTGTTAAATTATTAACACATGTTTCGTATGTTTAGATTATGCATACTAATAACCAATTATTGCCATCTATAAAAATTATTGGTTTTTCTTTTCTGAGTCGGGTTAAAGGTCTTCTACCCGACCGGTTTTCATAATTTTGGCCATAAACTAAAGGTGTAGACGGACCACAGATTTCATCAATCATCGGCATTCATTTTGACGTATATTTCGAGTTATGCACAAGCGCCCCTGTACATTTCTTATGGGAGGTAAATTTGTTTTAACCAATTTTCATGATTGAGGTCTCAAATTGAAGGTATGCACGCACAGATTAGCCAATATAAGCATCGGCATATATTTATCTATAACCCCAGTCGGTTTATACGTAAACGAAATTTGTTCCCCATGTATTTCTTATGGGAGTTAAATTTAGTTTTTCTTTTCCGGGTTCGTTTGGCTCTTCTACCCGCCCGATTTTCATAATTTTGGTCTACTATGCAAGCACATATTTGTCATCAAGCATCATTATTAATTTATCTAATGTATTACTCAACAAAAAAATATAAATTAGATTTTGTTCGCCAATAATACTTGTAATACTTCGCAATTGCTCGATTTTGAGCAACAGGTACACTAGTCAAACATTAACTCAGGGAAAAGTAAACAAACTATCAATAAAAACAAATATAACAGCTAATGTATCTTCAATATTATTTTGCTTTCATAATATCATTATTGGATACTGTATGATTTTCTCCATATCATGTTCATAATCCATTGTTATATGTTTTGTTACTAAACAAATCTTATATTCTTTCAACTTCCCTTACAAGGGTAGCTTTTAAGACAGTCCCAGGGCTAAGCCCTGAAAATTATCATGAAATTGATGGTGTATAAACCTACTCCATGTAATAATTCTACATGAATGTACCAAGTTTTGCAGCCATCGGTCCAGCGGTGTCTGAGTTTATCACTGCCAAATATATACAAACCAACATTCTCTTTTTCACTTATAGATTAATATAATAACACATGTAGTAACAACCAACCAGATAAAGAACAACCAGAGACAAGGGCTCAAGAAAGACGTCCACAACTCATTCTGATTTAAGGCTGTCAACAGGTGTTTCCTTATTAGCTTATCAGATACTACTGCATTGTATTCTTGTGCAAAAATGTTATCAGGCCCTCATGGTTATGTATTTATTCAATTGCCTGGTTTACAACATTCTTTTGCAATTTTGCATTCATTTAAAATTATCTTAAGAAAATTTACCACACTTAAATACATTCCTCTTAAAGGCGGTTGAGAATTACAGTATACAGACACTACACATCTGCTCATCTACAGGCCTACAAAGTAAGTACTTTTTTGTTGTATAGTCAAAGGTACTTTGTAAGTTTACAAATATTAATATTTGTGGCACTAGAGAAATAGTTTGAGCTAGCAAGGCTAACCAGCCACACAAATCAATGCATTTTTAAATTAACAAAATACCTACTACAAAAATGCAATTTTTTTTATCTATGCTATACAGGGCGTTTATAAAAGAATCATCAGGTTTTAAAACATTTTATTGACGTTAATGTTAAACAAATATGGATATAAAATATATCAACAGAAAGGAGAACTCTTACATTTTTCATAGATACCCCTATAAGTGCTCAATGTGCCGTCCATTAGCCGTGGAGCAAGTTTCCAATCTATGTTGTAAATCGTCCCATACACCGGCTAGTATCGCAAGGTTGGTTGATTCTACGGCATTGCGAATTCGTCCACGGAGCCCTTGAAGTGTTTGAAGCATTGGCATTATAAAAACGTTGTAAACAATCACACAACGAAAGATCAGAAGATCTACGGGGCCATTTGAGAAGGGTCAAGTCATTATCGTTAAATCTGCCAATCCACCTCAGTTTCTAAGAGAACTCTTGCGTGACCACTGCTTTTACATTTTAATACACCTCCAGAGTTCTTAAACTGGCGATACCACCTTAAAATGCTTTGGTATGTAGGAGGAGTCCGTCTAAAATGACTCCGAAACTCACGCTGGACGGTTATTAAAGATGCACTTCATGAAAAACACTTTGTCATAATGAAAAACACAAATTTTTGTTCTTGAGTTGTAATTATTTTGCAAACATGCAAACACGTCCAATACAAAACCAAGACTGATTATTGAACAGCTGATTATAAAACTTGGAAACATGCTTTTTAAGCACATGTTTCTAATATTAATGTGAGACAAGAATTGGGTGAGGTACATGCCATTAAAACATGATGATTCTTTTATAAACGCCCTGTATTTACTGATGGAATTTAAGGAATACCAGTACACATTATCAGAGGCTGTACTTGTTCTATGAGTCCAATATTATAATAGGTTTTGTTGAGTTTGTACACCAATGGAATTTTAAGGAAATTAATCTATAATACGGGTACTGTCTTCTGTGTACTACCACACCCATTTTGTTGGTTTATGCTTTATTATTATAAATTTGTACTTTATTACCATTCTTATTCGATAATTATTATATGCATTGATTTTTTTGTATTATAGAATAAATCTTATATATTTGTTGGGGATTAAATATAAAACATTATAGTAACCTTAGCTTATTGAAATCAGTTCAAAATTGTAGGTGGGAAAACAGTACCTAACCAATTTCTAAATCAAACTCATTGAGAAATACTAAATTTTTGGTTAACACTTTTTCTACATGTTATTTAATCAAGATCAGAAATGATAACAAGACAGACTAAAATCAAATTCAGGGCCATATCTCCTCATGTAAATTATTATCCCCTCCTGACTCTTAATTTAACTACCGATAGTTCAATTGCATTTGCAGAACATGCTCAGGTTCACACAGTGCCTACTAGTTCTGGTGATGGCAATTGTATGTGTCACAACTACAATGACCCAAGTTATTTGCACTTCTGATGCTGACTGCAATCAAGACCATTGCTGTGTACTGGGTAAGGTAAAGCAAGTTACAATTTTCCAACATCTGGAAAAACCAGACATGTCCAAAATATCACAAATCAAATATTTTATATTTTTACCTAACCCGCCATGTTAAACTTCCCTATCCCAAGCGTGATGTATACAACTTCCTTACTTCTCGAGTGATGTAAAGTTGAAAAAAACTCACTCGGTGATGTAATGAAACCCATTTAAATAACATTGAGTGGATAACTTAAAAAATATACCTCTATGGAGCCAACGACGATCAACGCTAGAAATCAGCTGTGTTTGAATCTTATTGTTATGCTTTGAAGAATTTTCCTAACCTAGCTTTTGTTTGTAAATGAACGTTACTGTTAGAAGATGAGTGAAATTGATAATGAAGCATAATATTGCTCGTGACCTCCTGAATATTGTCGGGTCAGGTAAAATCTTTTACGTTACACGTTACGCAAGAGCGTGTTTACATCACTTCGGTGAATTATGCAACTCGCCTTCGCTCGTTCCACAACATTCACCTGCGTGATGTAAAAACGCTCTTACTACACTTGTAATGTAAATAGCTATTACAGCATGGGGTGAAAATAGAGAAGTACATTACATATTTTTGGTCGAGTTTTCCTCCATGGGATGAACTCTAGTGTCCAGTAATAAATTAATGCATACATTGTTTATAGTCCAGGCAAATTAGACCAAATATAGGGTGTGCTCCCCAAAAAATCGTCTAAAGCTGGAAAGTGTTTTAATACCTTTTGGGGGTCCCAAATAATACTCCTGTAAGTTTGCGACGGGTTCTGACGTCTGCTTAAGTTTTGAGAGTCGAAAAACTATGAAAATTTTGCACTTTTTTCAGTTTTTCGCTTATAACTCCTAAATAACGAATTCTAAGGAAATTGTTGTTCAAAGGTGTCTTTTAGTGCATTAAATTCCGCGTCGATTGATGTTAAATACGTCAAAATCGGCCGAGCCGTTTAGCCGCTGTAGCTTTTCAAAGTTGGAATAATTTCAATAACATGGCCAAAAGGTTGCTTATTTGACCAGTTTTCGGCTTACAACTCCTAAATGACGCATGCTATACAAACATGCACCTGTAGTTAGTTTGGAAAACACAAAATGCTGCGTATGATGTTTTCTTTATTAATCAATAACGGCAATTGATTGTTACCTACTTTGTATGGTCGCCATTTCATTGAAAAAAGTATTAAAGTTAAAGTTGCGAAATTTACTAAAATTGGTAACAACATAGATCCTGCCCTTAAATGGATTATGAATTATTAGATAGTGGTTTATTCCATGATGGTCAACCAGAGGTTTATTTTATAAGGTGTGATGAGAGTAAGACACCCTATGTAATTTTAAGTCTAATATTTTTGTCTGAGATTCCGAAAATTCTAGGATTCATATCCCAACCACCCATTATACAGGGTGAGTTTTAATTGTCCCCCCCCCCCCAACTTTTTTCTACATTTTTTCGAATATCAATCCCAGACCACTTCCAAACATTGTTGGGTAGTAAGTACTTCATTTTGACAAGGTGGTCATTTCCGGCCGCCATCTTGGATCCGCCATATTGGATGCAAAATATGTTTTTCCACATGTAAAGGGGGTGTTGTGACCCATCATTTCGAACTATTTTTTTAAGCTTAACTCAATGCCGCAATCAATTTTTTGTTACCAAGTTTTATTTATTAAATATTGCAATTTTTTTGTTAAAAATGTCTATATTTCAACATCAAAATATCAAAATGAAAAACGGATCATGGAATTGAGTTTAACTTAAAAAATAGTTCGAAATGATGGGTCACAACACCCCCTTCACATTTAAAATAATTCATCACATTTCAAAATGGCGGATCCAAGATGGCGGCCGATAAAAATACATCAGTCATAACCAAGTGAAAATACGTCGACAATGACTGGTAGTGTATACTTATCTTTATCTAGCACTATTTTGAGATTATGGTCTTAGTTTGTACATGCACAATGTTAAAATGGGGTAAAAATAAAGTTTTAAAAAGCCCCCATAACTTTGGAATGAATCAAGATTTTTAAAAACGGTTTGTGGCATTGTAATCAGGGTAAAAATCTAGTTCGAAATATTGGGTCACAACCCCACCTTTACATTTGAAAAAAATATTTTACATCCAATATAGCGGATCCAAGATGGCGGCCGGAAATGACCACCTTGTCAAAATGAAGTACTTACTACCCAACAATGTTTGAAAGTGATCTGGGATTGATATTCAAAAAATGTAGAAAAAAGTTGGGGGGACAATTAAAACTCACCCTGTATAATGGGTGGTTGGAATATGAATCCTAGAATTTTCGGAACCTCAGACAAAAATATTAGACTTAAAATTACATAGGGTGTCTTACTCTCATCACACCTTATTAGATAAACCTCTGGATGACCATCATGGAATAAACCACTATCTAATAATTCATAATCCATTTAAGGATAGGATCTATGTTGTTACCAATTTTAGTAAAATTTCCCAACTTTAACTTTAATACTTTTTTCAATGAAATGGCGACCATATAAAGTAGGTAACAATCAATTGCCGTTATTGATTAATAAAAAAAAAACATCATACGCAGAATTTTGTGTTTTCCCAACTAACTACAGGTGCATTTTTGTATAGCATGCGTCGTTTAGGAGTTGTAAGCCGAAAACTGGTCAAATAATCAACCTTTTGGCCATGTTATTGAAAATATTCCAACTTTGAAAAGCTACAGTGGCTAAACAGCTCGGCCGATTTTGACGTATTTAACATCAATCGACGCGGAATTTAATGCACTAAAAGACACCTTTGAACAACATTTTCCTTAGAATTCGTTATTTAGGAGTTATAAGCGAAAAACTGAAAAAGGTGCAAAATTTTCATAGTTTTTCGACTCCCAAAACTTAAGCAGACGTCAGAATCCGTCGCAAACTCACAGGAGTCTTATTTGGGACCCCCAAAAGGTATTAAAACACTTTCCAGCTTTAGAAGATTTTTTGGGGAGCATATGTCTAATTTGCCTGGGCTATTAAGATTAAGTCCTGTTGTAAACCATCTGTTCACATCCTTTCTACATCTTTAGGAAGTAAAATGAGTGTTTACCAAGTAAAAACTATCCACATATCTCAACCAAATGTATAAAATAAAGTATACTAAATTTAATATTTTTATTCCTGCACAGCTCTTTTTTTGATAGTTATACTATGTAATCGTTTGCAGAGTATGGTGTTAGATATGGAGTTACAACGTGCAAGGCGTTGGGAGGATATGACACCACTTGTAGACCTGACACCTTACTCAACACAACTGTTAAAGCTGGTCCTTCAAGCCCTGAAGTGTATGTCACAGGGGTACATCTTCAGCTCTGTCCTTGTGGTTATGGACTGCAATGTCATTCAGGAAGCTGTCAGTTCCAGGAGAGTGCAAATCCAGTACAGGTGCCTCAACATCCTAGACTGCCCCAGAGGAGCGAGTCACATCCAGCACAGGTGCCTCAACATCCAAGACTGCCCCAGGGGAGCAAGTCACATCCAGCACAGGTGCCTCAACATCCAAGACTGCCCCAGGGGAGCGAGTCACATCCAGCACAGGTGCCTCAACATCCTAGACTGCCCCAGGGGAGTGAGTCACATCCAGCACAGGTGCCTCAACATCCGAGGCTGCCCCAGGGGAGTGAGTCACATCCAGCACAGGTGCCTCAACATCCGAGGCTGCCCCAGGGGAGCGAGTCACATCCAGCACAAGTGCCTAGACTGCCCCAGGGGAGCGAGTCACATCCAGCACAATTGCCAAAACGTGATGGTGCACAGTAACATTAGTTGTGAAATATATCACTCATTGTCAGAGGTTCCCACGATTTATCAGATACTATGATGTACCCCTTTATACTAACTGTGAATGATGAAGTGATGATGTAGTTCATGTTTGACTTGTTCAAAAATTTACAGGTAAATAATAAAGAGTATCAGAAATCTGACACATACTTTTTTCCCATTAGCTTGTCAACAACCCTAATGCACATGGTTAAGCCGTGAGAGTAACTTGATAATTTATTGATAAAATCACAAAAAGTTGCAATAACTTTTAAACAGTAATTTTTGCAGCAATTGGGTTTGTACCATTTTGTTTAGAATTAAAAGGAATTTAACATACAAACAATTTAAATCAAAATTGATCAAGTCGGCTTTTTGAAAATCAAATTTCTTCGGTGAATTTATAGGCTTTTATAAAAAAAAATCATAAAAGTTGCAACAACTTTTAAACCGTAAATTTTACAGCAAATCGGGTTATACTATCTGGTTCAGAGTCAAACGGAGTATAACATACTACATTTTAATCAAAATCGTTCACCCAAAATTTGAGAAAATTATATTTTTCTGTTATTTTGTGAATTTGTGTAGTAAGACCATCCATACTAGTATGATACCTACAGACTAAATTATTGAAATATACATTATAGATCATTGACTAAGGTTTACATTGTTATGTATACTTATACACAACGTCTTTTAAGAACTGATTAAGGATCACTTTATGATATATTTTTGGGTATATAATATACATTTATTTACATTAAACATTCCTTAAAAAAAGAGAAAAAAACACCACTTGTTTTATAAAAATGTGATAAAATAAAAGACAAAAGTCTTTAACAAACACAACATTTCTTATATTTCTTAAAGTTAACAACCTAATCCAATCCCCAAATCCCTGCACTGTCCTTGATTGTGTGTCGGTTCTCCCTCCTATTTCTTGTGACAGCACTCGCTTCTCCTTTGGCCAAACATCTTTGTCTTAAAGCCATTCGATTTCTTTTTGCTAACGCCTTTTTTACTCTTTCCTGAATGATTTCTGGAGGAATGGTGGATGTTGTTGATACACTTCGAACGCTTTGGACATCTGTGTCAGCATCACTAAAGTTCTCTTCAGAACTGCAGTCAGCCAAAACCGGAATCGGAATAATTGATGGTGCTTTGTTTGTACTAGGTTCCTGATCCACGCTTTCTTCTTTTTCTGTTGTTATTTTACTTTTATGATATTTTTTCTCATCTTCTAACATACTCTGTTCTAGTTCAGCTCTCAGACTCTCAATATCTTCTTCTTTTTCTACCTTGTCTGAAACAGTTTCTGCGGTTCCTTCTTCATTATCTTCATTCCAACCTATTTCTGCCAATAGATCTTTTTCCATTTGTCTTGTGAATCCACTAGCGCTAACTTCTGCATCCAAAATGTCTTCCCTCCTGAAAAAAGTAAATAAAAATTATATGCTTCTCTAATTGAATAAAATAAATTCTACGATAGGTTTCTTATTCTTTGATAAACATTCATAAATTTCAATAATTACAGAATTTTTTTTTAGGTTTATAGTCCAGTCAAGGAATGAGGTGTAGAGTGCGTGAGCTACCTGCGATTCCTTCAGAAACTTGTTCAGGAGGCTTAGGGTGTTAATATACCAAGTTTTTTGATTGTACCTCGAAAACTATCAACTTTTTGTATACTATACTAAATTATAAAATTGAAGAAGGTTAAATTTTCTACAAGAAAAGTATAGTGTTTATTTTGGTTAAACAATTTACGAGTTATTACTAATTTAATTAATATCTTATTAAAATACTCCTACCATAAGAAATACATATGTAAATTAGTATGCAAAATGGGGAAAATCCTATCCGCCCAAAGGAAATATAACTGATATTCTGGAAATCTTGGTAACATTTCCAGCAATTTGACACTTTAATCATAAAATTTTGTCAAAAATTAAAGTGAGGGTGAGCGTTTAAAAACGGGATGATTTGAGGGTTTTTTATAATTCTTAATAAAAAACACCAAAATCCAACATGTTTGTTACCTCGCCCTCGCCTTAATTTTGGATCAATTTTTATGATTAAAGTGTCAAGCTATTGGAAATTTTGTCAAGGTTTCCAGAATATCAGTTATATTTCCTTTGGGCGGATAGAATTTGCCCCATTTCGCATACTAATTTACATTTATTTCTTATGGAAGGAGTATTTTAATAAGATATTAATTAAATAAGTAATAACTCGTAATCTGTTTAACCAAAATAAACACATTATATACTTTTCTTGTAGAAAATTTAATCTTCTTCAATTTTATAATTTTGTACAGTATACAAAAAGTTGATAGTTTTCGAGATATAATCAAAAAACCCAAAATGCGTACCATTACCCCCCCTTTCCCCCACCCAACCCCTGGCTCACCACCTAGGAGTCAGGACTTTTGGTATGTTAACACCCTAAGCCCCCTGAACAAGTCACTGCAGGAATCGTTTAGTTACCTGCTCACGCACTCTACACCGACTTTTGGATCATTCCTTTAAAATAATTGATCAGCAAGTTGTATTCAATTTAAGTACAGTCACATGTTGCACAAGTGAAACCCAAAACTTTGTAAACACACTTATTCAGACATGAATGGATTGCAAATTCATTTAAAATGCACTATATCTATATCAGGGTGTCCACCTGGCCAACCAGAAAAAAATCATGAGTAATTCATGAGTAAAAAAAATCCCGGTAGTTTAGTTCGTACTTTTCATACTAAAATTTCCAAAGTTTTTTGCGCGCGTCAACTCTCACAATGCTGTTTTAGCGCTAACACAGCTCGCTATTTTAGTTATCAGAAAGAGCATTCTCAGTTAAAGAAACAAAATTTATGATTACTGTAATATTGCCTGACGCAAGTATTCAATTTTTATATATTACTGATTCTTAATACTGATCATTTCAATTTTACCAAATTTATGTATGTAATTTTAAAGTTATGGGTTGTTTTTCAAGTGACATACAGAAATAAATAATGCAGAAATGACAACAACTTCATGTAGCCAATTTAAGTTTTAAACCCTTCCAAACACATTAAACAAATACCACGTCAAAGGTAATTGAAGATATTACAAAAAATATAAAAATTAAACTTTCTAGAAGTGTATCATTTTGAAATTTTGTGTCAAGCCAGACTCGAGGTTATATGGTAATGTTATATCGCGGCCATGGAAACATCATCGTCGTCTCCCTCGGTCACAGAAACGTCATCGTAATCTCCCGCTGTCACGGAATCGTCATCGTCGTCTCCCGCGGTCACGGAAACGTCATCGTCGTCACCCGCGGTAATGGAAACGTCATCATCTCCCGCGGTCACGGAAACGTCATCGTCTGCTCCCGCGGTCATGGAAACGTCATCGTCTGCTCCCGCGGTCACAGAAACGTCATCGTCGCCTCTCGCGGTCACGCAAACGTTATTGTAATCTCCCGCGGTCACGGAAATGTCATCGTCGTCTCCCGCGGTAATGGAAACGCCATCGTCATCTCCCGCGGTCACGGAAACGTCATCGTCGTCTCCCACGGTAATGGAAACGTCATCGTCATCTCCCGCGGTCACGGAAACGTCATCATCGTCTCCCGCGGTCACGGAAACGTCATCATCGTCATCCGCGGTCACGGAAACGTCATCGTCTCCCGCGGTCACAATAACGTCATCGTCATCACCGGCGGTCATGGAAACGTCATTGTCTTCACCCACGATTACGGAAACGTCATCTTCGTCTCCCGCGGTCACGGAAACGTCATCATCGTCTCCCGCGGTCACGAAAACGTCATCGTCTGCTCCCACAGTCACGGAAACGTCATCGCCTGCTCCCGCGGTCACGGAATCGTCATCGTCGTCTTCCACGGTCACGCAAACGTCATCGTCGTCATGCGCGATCGCGGCAAAATCAATAACAAATCCCACGGCCGTTTGAACATCATCATCGTCTCCCGCGGTCACGGAAACGTCATCTTCATGCGCGATCGCGGCAAATTGAAAATTCCCGGTTAAATACGAAATTCACGCATAATTCCGGGTTTTTTCCCGGTTCAAAAAAAATCACGCATAATTCCCGGTTTTCCCGGATTACCCGGTTGGTGGACTATATATTAATTTGAAACTGTTTTTCTTTGTGACAGCTAATTTGAGAGAACGGCTGGGCGTAGAAACTCGGTAGAGGTGTCTAAAGAAAGGGCTTGGTCTGTAGATGAGCCATCAAAAGAGAAACATGGTAAATTCTCTTGGGGCTCTGCCCCAGTGGCCTTTAAATTCCCATCCCATGTTATTCTTATGGGGGAAAACGGGTTTTTGTCACAGCTAATTTCAGAGAACGGCTGGGTATAGAAACTTGGTAGGGGTCTCTAAAGAAAGGTCTTGGTCTGTAGATGAGCCATCAAAAGAAAAACGAGGTAAATTCCCTTGGGGCTCTGCCGCAGAGGCCTTTAAAGTCCCCTCAGCAGATTTGTTTACATTCACACTACTTTTTAATGAAATAGCTGTTAATATTTAAATTGTGATTTACTGAATTCGTCAAAATGAAGTATTTGCGAAGGTTTTTTCTGATTTTAAAATCGATTTTCTTCTGCATCGTGTCATGTTTTGCAATATAATGTTGTAATGTTGTAATGTTATAATGTGCAATCCAAATCGGTGGAAAATCCTAATATCACAGTAACTCTTAAAATTATTTCTTATGGAGTTAACTTATGTATATTGTATGGGTTGGTTTCTGCCTTTTTTTACCACTTCTTGGAGATTGTACGTAGGCGTGTTGCACTTAGATGATATTCTTTGGCGTATTGCATCTGTAGACGATACTTGGGTTGGTGTAATTATTACAATGGGAAAAAGCGAGAAATCCTGGACAATTTGATATAGGCCTTCTAAAAATTAAACTGAATTAAAATAATAGAAATAATGTTTTTTTTCTTCATTAATAATCGTTATTATAGTGAACCTAATGCGTCTATGAGTGGGAAACATTTGTAGAAAACTCTAAAAAACAAGATCAGCTTTTGAAAAAAGATAAGATATTTACAAACAATCGTGATTATATCTAACTGTTATATCTAACATCGTGAGTATTTCCATTATCTTTGAGTCGATTTTTATAGTCATCGGAAATTATGACCGTTAGGCCTATTTGTTTTAAAATAACACTTGTAATGCTTCGCAATTGCTCGAATTCGAGCAACAGCTACACTAGTTAACAAAAACTTCGAAATTTGCATTTAAATTGACTAGCCTACCTGAGATGAAATTTTGCCAAATAATTTTGTCAGTGCTCGCATTATGAAATATTAGTCTTTCATTTTTTGTTAGAATACAATCTGATTAAAGCATAAATTAATATTATTCTAATACTGAAAATACAAATTTAAGGCCCAATTTCTCCAAATTCACACTAATGATGGTTTTGTTAATCTTCGGTTAAAACTAACTGATGGTTTAAGGTACAGTTAAATTTTATTGCTAGTGTAGTATGATCTACCAGTCTCACTGGTTAGCCCCAAATACCTATCTCATAGCATGAGTGTTGTCACGGTCAAACTGTTCTACGTACGTCATACGGGAAAACAGGAAGTGTGGCTCCGGCCTTGAATATCTACAATATCGACACGGAGCGGAAGTTGTAGTTGCGGTGTTGCCAATTCGCGGCCACCGTTTAGGACCGATATCGATAGGCTATATACAGACGAAACATATACGAATGCGACTTCATTGGTCCAAGCGGGAATACTGGAGACAAGCTATATACAATACTGTAATTATAATATATTCGCTAATTTGGCTGCCTCTTAAAAATTTTTGTGTTAACAGTTTTTTACATAAATAATACAAAACAAAGCTTTTGCTATTTGGCTGCCATATACGGCTTCCAATTGGGACCGGCCGCCAAATCAATTGCAAATCTGGCTATGTTCGGCCGCCAATTAGGACCAGATTCTTACATATATATAGCCTAGATATGTCCGTGAACACGAGAACTTGAGTAATCTTTGTCCAATTTTAATGAAATTTTGTTTAAAGGTGTAAGGCGGGATAACTTGAATGAGTTTGCTGACCAGCATGATCGGACCATGGGATCAGGGTTTTGCAGGAAGTTTAAGGGGTAAAAATTGGTTTTTCTCATTTTTGACCCTCAAAACACAAAATTTCCCAATTTCTCTTTAGATCTTTTTAAAGAGCTTAAAAAAATAATAATAATTTAGTACATCAAAGTGTTTTTGTATAGTTATTGGTAAGGGAGAAAAAAAATTGTAAATTTAAATATCCATGTTATTGTTATGGAGAATGTTGTAAAATGTTGTAGTTTGCTTGTTTATGGATATATTTTGATCAAACTTGGCAAATTTATTTATTTTATACTAACCTATTAATATTTCACTAAAAAACATACAGTTTATTAGTTTCCATAACAGCAAACCTAGGTACTCATTAAACCTAATAGATTTTATTGAAAATCAATTCAGACAAATGGAAATTTGTTTAGTCTGCAAGATTGCTGCGGCGGGGGTATTTTATATTTGATAGTAATATCTATATTTACCTTTGATATGGTATTATTTGTGTTTATTGTGACCATGGGAGATGTTTAGGATTTTGCCGCTATCGAAGGAGACATCGGTGTTGTTTCCGTTACCAATGAGGATAATTAGGATTATGACATAATCTCAGAAGACCAAGATGATGTCCACTCAACCACAAGGATATTCAGGAATTTGCTGCAGTGGCGGAAGTTTAAAATTATGTCCCCTTTGCAATGTGAGAAGTTCAATAATTTTCCGCCATCATAGAGGAACCGTTATCGCTGAGTGATATTCTGGATTTTGCTGTGATTGCAGAAGACAATGATGATGTGTTTTTGACCGAACAAGAATTTTGCGACAACCGGGAAAGATGATGACAAAATTACCATGAATTTCTTCCGATCAAAAATCTCAGTATGACACACCACACTAGTTATACCTAATAAAATTTTGTTAGGAAGTCTATCATTTACTTTTGGTATGCTATCACTTTATGTTTTTAGAAGGGTTTGTATTTGAATGAAATAATGAATTTATTTCCTCCAATAAAAACACACAATGGATACAAAATTGGCTTGGAAATTAACTGGCCACTTTGGCTAGTTAGAATTTAACATTGCTGCTTTAATTTGTTCCTTACTTCTAAACACTTCAAAATTACTTTGTGTTTGCATAGGGTCATAAATTCAGAGGTTGGTCATAAAAACGTATCGGTACTGAGAATCAATTTTTCAGGTATCAATAATGAGAATAGATAAATTTTGGTATTGAGACCAGGCTTATAGGTGAATTCCTTAATCCTAAAAATGACAATCAGAGCGTTCCCTTGAAGTAAACTAACTTTAATTAATACTTATGCTTAATATTAATAGTTCATCAAATTTTTTTATTTAACTTACGAAATGTCTTTGAAAGTTGGATACAAGGAACTTTCATATGAGAATCTCCTTTTGAAAAAATCTCGGATGCAGTTTACATCTCTTTCAAAGAACCTGTAAACAGAAAAATACCTAGTAAGGAAAAAAAAGAAAACTTTTAGGCTAAGCCCTTTTTGATTGACCAATTGACATAAAAACCATTAAGATTTCTTTAAGAATGTTCATTTTTTATGCTAAGTAAATTTAATTTTGTTTATGGAAGAAACAAGTAAATAACTCTAGCATTTTTCGGAATATTACAAAAAAAATTCTAGCATTGAAAGAGTTAATGAACAAGTTACTCCAACTCCCTGTAACATTAAAATGTTTAAAACTGTTATATTTAACTTTATAAAAATGTCAACTTTTGAATTTTTCTACATTTTTAATACTTAAAAAATAACTTTAAATTAAGAAAGTGTATATTAGAGATTATTGGGGCTTGTAAATATTTTTGTAAACATCTTGCATAAAACTACAAGATAAGTCTCCAAAAATAGTGTAGGAGAGAGCTTAATTCAGACATTTTTGGCTTTTTGTAAGAGGAGAGATGAAGATTCTTAATTAATTTAACATAAATTAACTTGAAATTTGGCATGTTGTACATTTTGTTAACCTAATTTACTTACACTTTTGCATTTGTGTGACATGTGGATACCATTTGAGGGAAATCGATGATAACAGGCTTGCCTTCATCGGTAATCATAATGTTGAATTCATTAAAGTCACCATGAATCACACCATAATTGCCCAATCTGACAATTAAATCCATCAAATCATCGTAGAGGGATTCAACATTTGGTACTTCACTCACTCTGGACCTAAAAATAATCCTCAATTGTTAGAATTTGTAAAGGAATTGTTAAGACTAAAGTTAACACCTGTTTTATACATTACTTTTCAGTAACTTCCGTGACTTAGGTAACCGGTAGACACCCTGTTAAATTGTAAAAAACAATATTAGTTTTAGAAGAAGCTACATCTACAAGCTGTAGATAAATAAGATCAGAAATGAGAAAAACAAATCTCAAAACGTGTGTACATAGAATTTTAATTATAGTCAATTAAGTGAACCACTGTAATTTCCAGGTTTGGAGGCGGTGAGTGAATAGCTCAAGGGGAGGGATCAGGGACTTTTGGGAAAATACGCGACTTATGTGGTTCTATCACATATAAAAAAATCCAGCTTTCCACCATTTATTTGCATAAAAAAGGGTGTTTTTTTTAAACAAAAAGATAGACAAAAAGAATCACTCACAGAGGTTCCCCGTGTATCAAATCCATGATGACACAGTGTCTGTTACAGTCAATGGGTCGAGGAACAGGAAAGTCCCGATTGTGTAGAGCCTTCATATAAGCAAACTCTTTAGCTGCTGATATTCTGGACAGATAAAGCCACCCTGCCTTATTTCTGTGAGCATGATAGTCCCGCTTCTCTTTGATGTTGCGGAAACATGTTCTACCGAGCCTGAAAAAACAAAAGTTATATGTCCAGTTAGGTTTAAAAAATGAAAAATATACAAACAATGATCTAAAATATTTTTTAAATTATGATCCCTAAATCACAAAGAGAATTTGTTAAAATTTTTGTACAAGCTATTTGGACAATACATGTAGGCTTAATTCACTGACGAACAATAATCTATATATTTTTTTTATTATGATCCCTAAATAATAAAGAGAATTTGTTCAAATTTTTGTACACACTATTTGGACAATGCATGTATGCTTACTTCACTGAATTTGTAAATTAGCCGAATCCGATCATGGAAAGAAGTTTTTTGAGGGGTTATTAAAATAAGATAATTTTTTTTTTAACCTGTGTGAGTTATATTCTATATTATTTATAAGCAGGATAAAATTAACTGCAGTATATTGCTTAAAGTTTTAAAATATAAGACTCATAACATTTGACAAATTTACACATTTCATCGTAGTTTTTAAATGTAAATTATAATGATAATTTTAGCGAATTACCCTGTAGGGAAGTAGCTATTATCGTAGGTAAGACCTAGGCCCGGGACAGATTTACTTTTTCATTTTGATGTCTCCAGAGGCCAAAAATACTATTCGTTCATCTTACTAATATTATTATAAATAAATGTGAAAGTATGTGTGTTTGTTTGAAGTTCAATCACGCATAAACCACTGGACGGATTGGGCTGAAATTTGGCCTGATGATAGCTTACATTCCCGATTAACATATAGGTATATTATTATCTCAAAAATCCATTCGGGCTCCGCCCCAGTGGCTCTGCAGTTCCCCGTGTTAACCTTATGAGTATTCATATTTAAAGGGAATTAAAGCATTTAGTCAGCTGTTTTAACTAAAAAAGGTTCGTTCTATGACATACAAAAGCATTAAAAAGTTATAAGATTTACCAACAGGGTGCAGCACTATAATTATTTTTGCATTTATGTACAGCTAATTTGAACTAAGCAGCAACAACAAACTGTGATACGCAATGGGAACTGTCAAAGTAGGATTGTATACAGTTATTTTTTTATGTCATGAATAATTTGTGATTTTTTGCAAATTTTTTATAATTTTTTCTTTCTTTATAGTTTAGGTTGAGAGTGGTAAGAACATTATGGTTGGTAGGCCTAGATGTGTAATACTATAGTATATCGTCAATTTAAAGAAGCAAATTTTATCAAACTGTGTCCTCCCTCATTGCAAACGCAAAGCTTGAGTATAACTGCACTACGCATTTTAAACTTATATGTCAACCCCGTACGAAGGACAGGTTCTCTGCTAGTCTTTTTATATACAGCAGACTCCCTCTTATTCGGAGTCCTCAAATTTGTACACAAGTGCCTAAGCCATCTCAGTACTAACCAAATTAGTTAATAGCAAAATTTATATCTTAGGTGAGATAAATTTAACCCTCTGTAACCTCTGACCACTGACCTGTGTAGCTTTAAACAAAGGGCTTCACCCTCTTCATCTGCAACCACATAAATATTTGACTCTTTTCCGACTCCTATCTGGTTTCCAAAGGAAGCAACAATTCCTCGAGATGTCAGAGTTTTCAGAGCCAAATAGTCATATCCGGAATTTGTCAGCCTGTAGCCATCATCTAACAAACAAAAAAAAGGCTTTAGTACATTTAGTACTTTAGGCACACATAACTAACTACATTATATTTCGAAAGCATTACTCAGATGAAAATATAAACTTGTAGTGAATGGAACTAGCAAGCAGAGGCTACAACGGGATTCAATTATACTGAGTCCTGGAACATTTTGTTATTACTTTCTCCGCCTATACATTAGTAAGCCTGGAGAAAGTTTTGTTTTTGTCAAAATTTTCAAATTTGAGTTTTTGGATGTATCCTACATTTTGGGTTCCCCTGAACCAAAAAGATTGTTTTCAAAGTGATTGTCTGTCCATGTGTGTGTCGATGTGTACAGAGTTACAGACCACACCTGTGGTCTGATCTTGGTAAAATGTGATATGTCCATAGTATGCCTTAATCAATGGTATCTTCAGGAGTTTTTATTTTCAACGTTAATGATGATTTTCTTACAAAAACCCATGGGTACCGGTACAGAAAATAGACAGAACATTTCACAAATATACGAACACTATTTTAATTAAAATTTAGTACGTTATAGTCCTTTCTCCTTAACACTATGGTTCTACTTAACAAAATGGTTCAACCCCCACTGCTGTAAAAATTGTGGTTCAAAAGTTGTGATTTAACTTTAGCAATTTTTGTGATTTCCCCATCATTCCCAGCGCTTACCCATGGTAAAGGTTGTTAACATGCCAATGGGGAAAATATGAGTCAGACTGCTGATACCAATTATTTGTTTATGCACTAAAAAGTTTGCACAGTTAAGTTAGTTGGATTGTTTATTTGAATTTTAAAAAGTGAGGTAACTAGCTCCTTAAAAAACTTTGTTTAAACATGTGACTTACAATGTTTTCCTCTTTCATAGCTGACCAGTCTATGTTTGCAAAGTTCCTTCAGAAGCTTGTGGACACCACCATGACGGAGATTTGCTATAGAAGCAACAAGGGATCCAGGAACTAGTTCATGATTTTTCATTCCCATTTCAATCTAAAACAAATAAGTTTTTTTGGTAATTATTGTTTCGCCTTAACCTTTTTTTTTACTGTAAATTTAAATTTTGATTGATCATCAATATAAACATAGGCTAATTAAGGATATTTAGTAAGTTAGGCTAGGTATTCTGTACAAGTAATTTAGTGCTACTTGCGTTTGATAGGCCCCAAAAGTCCCAAAAAAGAGCTTATCAGTGTATTTTAAAGGAGACCACTCTGTGTACTGGTGTGTTCACATCGGGTTTTCAATGTCTCAAAGAAGTTTGATGATTTTATTGCAATCTAGTTTAGGTAGGTACTCAAAATCTTAGTGGAAAGCTAAAACAAACTAGTCATTGAAAAACATGTGAAAAGAACAACAATAACTAGACCTAAAGGAGTTATTGACAAGTTTTTTGAAAATATATCTTATATATACCGGTAGGCTAACTTAGTCCCATCCAACCAAAGTTTATTTAATATTAAGTACCTAAGTTAAGTTAATTATGTATTTCATGGTAAGGTAAACATACCAAATACGGGACACCCACAACATACCGGACGCGCCAGGTTTCGTCTCAAATAATAAGCATATTCTTAATCTGATCAACATCAACTTAAGATTAATGCATTCGTTGGCTTTTAATCTGTATGCAGACAAATGGGATTGTAGATTGTCATAGGCCACTAGATCCAGTAAGCCGCAATTGGTCATGCTGTACACAGTTTTGACAAATTTCTAAAATCTCTTGTTTGTTTCCTTAAGAAAATGGTTGTTTCTTAAGCTTTAATAACCATACCTGTACCTGTGATAAAGTAGGCCTACAGTTGTTAATATGAATATTTAAATATTTTTCCCTTATTTTAAACCATAATAAAGACCCAGAAACTATTGACTAATTTTCAAGCCGTCCGGAATTAGGCAGCGGCATTTCCTAACTCCCAATTGTTACATTTTTTGTTATATATTTACTGATTTTGACTGGTTATTAACTGTAAATCGCTATAAGATCCATATTAGATAATGAATAAAATCATATATTTTTCAAAATGTATAAAAGTTGAGTACTTTAAAAGGATATTTTTAGCAGAAAATGGTCTTCTTAGGCCCACTGAAGTAGGCTAGTTCCAAACTACCAAGTGTTACGTTTTTCGTAGCATATTTTTACGTATTATTAATTTTATATGGCAATCCATCTATATAAATAAAATTAGAGTTTTGTCTGTACATTGCTCAGAATCATAAACTTTTAGGTTATTTTTACGTTTTATACATTAGAGAAACCGAAACAAGTCTCATCTAAATTTCTGTCTGTCTTCATGTCTGTTACGACCCAAGAGCCATTTTACGCGGCCTACTCCTGAAAAACGAGAGTACCTATCAAGTTCCAAATCATTTTAATGTATTCACTGGATTGGCGAAATTGTCTTTAGCCATTAAAATATGGCGTCACCACTTTGTAAATAAAATAACGGACGTTAAAAACCCAATTTTGTGCGATTTTTTGTAAAGTTTTCTCCCAATGTTTAGCACATATTCTTCTATGAAATAACGAACAGCTGTTCAAATCAAGATTATTTCTTCTAGCTGTCACTGATATGTTTACATTGAATGTTGTTTACAAATACCGCAACCATTTCCGATCACGTTTTGAAAGCAAATCCAAACCAATTAAGATTAAAAACGTTTTTCCTTACATAACGGATTTAATTAATCGCAAATGCAATAATATGTAGGGTAACAGTAAATGAAAATAGAGATTCTTTGTGTATAAAATTGTTCTTGAGTTTTGATAACCGGGAAATAGACCTTGAATCAGTGTTGTATATTGCTGGGAAACTTACATTTTTTAAATGAGCGTTTTCAGTCGAGACTCGGCACACGACCGACGCGCGTCTACTTGTCTATAGTAAAAATAAAAGTAGGCCTACTGTGTATTTATGTTTTATTCGTCATGTGTATAAGTGTACAGTTCGTGTATGTGTTTCAAAAACTCCAAGACGCACCTAATGGGGAAGCTCAAGACCTTTAGGACTTATGATGGCGATTAAATTTCGCCGAAATGCATCTCCTGTAATAGGATACATTAGGATCGACCAGCGAACAAAGGTAATTTAGCCTTTTATTGATTGTCATACCGATCCGGAACAACAACAAACGACATAAAATGAAGTTATAATAAATAGTTTGGCCAGCATATCTGAAAATATGCAAACTAACCCTAGTAGCACAAATATGTATTTTATAAATATTTTATATATTCAAAGTTGTATTTGATAGAACCTCGAATAAAATATATAAATAATATATCTTTAATAATAGTTTGATATATTCAAATATATATTTCAAATATTACCAAAAAGCAATGCAAAATATCAATTAAATATAAGTTTTGAATATATAAAATAAATTCATAATATACAGGGTGCGGCAAAAGTCAGTATACCGAAAAAGCAGTTAAACTGTAGCTAGCATTAAACATAACTATAAAAGTATAATTTTAATGTACCTGTTAGAGAAGCTGCTCAATGTGACCACCATCATTGTCTATACACTTGTAGCGCCTTTTCAACACTGACTTACAGATTTTGTTGCATAGTTGTGGTGTGAATAAAACATCAAAATGTTTTGTTATTAATTCTTTTGAACGTTCTAAACTTTGAGGTCTCTCCGAAAACACGTGTTCTTTTAACAAACCCCACATACTGAAATCGCACGGAGTTAGGTCTGGGGACCTAGCAGGCCACTCAATAGTTCCTCTACGTCCTATCCATTCATCGAAGTTATCATTTTAAAATGCTCGAACATTTAGGCCATAGTGGAGGTGCTCCGTCTTGCTGCCAAATAATCGAACGACGACGCAACTGTTCAAAAGTGGCATACTAACAAAACAAACATTCATCGACAAAGAATAAACAAAGACAAAATCAACCACGACTAGACGTCAGATTAGATAAGGAATAACACTGATATAATAATAGCGCGAGAGATAAACAATTACGCTCACCGGCCTGCAGCGGTATACTGACTTTTGCCGCACCCGGTATATTGATAAAATAAGTATAGAATCTATAATATATATATTATATATTATATATATAAAATATTTTTGAAACTATATTATATATTTAAAGTATTTATAAATATATTTTGAAACACGTCATATATTTGAATACAAATATATGACGTGTTTCAAAATATATTTATTGCAAATTATTTATTTGACAATTATAATAGATTATATATATTCTACAAATTATTATTTTATTAATAAATAAAATAATAATTTGTAGAATATATATAATCTATTATAATTGTCAAATAAATAATTTGCATCTTTTTGTTTTTTATAGTTTCTATCAAGTTTCTATAATTGCTATTGTGAAAGCGTTAAAATTAAGTAAATAGTAATACATACTTTGAATGGTGCCACTCTATCATGCACGTAAAGAAAAAATTACGCATATAGTTAAGAGGCAGTATACATGTTCGACAGCTACATGTGGGTCAAACGAAAAAAGTGTTGATGGGTTTTACTTTTTAATTGCACTAGGCTATGTGACAATGAATGTGATCATAGAAATCTCGAATGATTGGCTAGAAAAGGGTGCTAGAGACTGGCGACCTTTTAAGAAACTAATTACGTTTGTATATGTCGTTCTAAAAATAATTATTTGATTTACTTATGTTATAAATTACATAAAATTTGTCATAGTATTTAAATTATTTTTTGTAGTTTACTGTATTTGTATTCGTGGGGACTACTCACTATTCACTACAGCACTATTCAACTCAACAACTAGATGCTCAACAACAGATTAACAGAATCATATTATACTGTAGTATCAAAAATATTTCAAGTATTGCAACCATTGCAACTGTCGGCTACTCTTTCACCATTTGAAAACTAACACTAACAACAGTCACAGATAGCTCAGAGGTAAGGTAAGAGTCTCATGAGTCGAAGGACCCAGGTTTGAGATCCATCCGGGCCAAAAAAATTTTATCTAGTTTTTTTTTCAAAATTTGTTTTTATAAACTATTTAATCAATTTACTCAACTGATAATTGTGCTTTTCATACTAAATCTATATTATTTTGTGTTTTTTAATGTTTAGGCCCCATGGAATGTTTAAAGTGATATTAAATACATTTTTTATTAATTTAAATATTATTCACTAAAATATATTATCGGAACATATTTTTTTAATATTTAATAGATTCAAAAACATATTTTTCTTATATTTAATATATTTTAAATATTATATATAATTGACATTAATACACACTTGAGATACATAAAATAGATTTTAAATATATTTATTCATATGTATTCAATATATATTTGTGCTACTAGGGAACTGCAGGTTCTTTATATAAGAAGGTTTCAACTGATTACTATAAGATCCCCGTGCGTAGAACGGGTACACAGCTAGTTATTATTACAATTAAAAATTATAAAATTTCCAAAAATTACAAAAATGTAGACTTTGAAACAATCTTTTTAGGATATAATGGTTTTTTTCGGACTGAAGCAGTTCCGAACCGCCGAACCTTACGTTTTTTGTGTTATATATACACATTATGAACTGATAACAGCCATACGATCGGTAATTGGCAGGTTTTTAACCTAAGGTGGTTTCTGTTTTTTTCTTTTTTTCATGTGTGTATTTTTGTGTTTGTTTGTTGTATGAAAAAGCAATAAAGATTTCTTAAAAAACAAAAAATTATTACACTTATAATATTGAATATTGTTTGAATATATTTTCAAAATTCACAAATATTTAGTATACTTTGGAATGTTATTCTTAAACAGAAAATAGTTTCTTAGGCCTACTGAAGCAGTTCTAAACTACCGAATGTTAAGTGTTTTTTTTCTGTTATATTTACAAATTATTAACTTGACTGTAAGCATGTATAAAATCATACCAGAGGTCAACTCACCCCATCTCCACTTACATGACTCATATTCCAGGGAACGCCTAAAAAATACCAGCTGACCTAGTGAGATCATCCCCTTTAACTCAACCCTTGTTATTTTTAATGTAGGCCTAGCCTACTAAATCTTGTATGAGATATAATTTAAGAATTAAATGAGAATAAAAATTGATCAATACATTTTTCAAAATTCAGGCAGTTTCAAAATATTTGGTATTGGTTGAAAAAAAAACACAATTTCTGGTACAGTAGAACCTCTTTAATCCGAACTAATTGGGACCGGGGGTAATTCGGACTATTGAATAGTTCGGATTACAGAACATATTATTCTTTTTACACAACAATAGCTAAAATATCTCTAAAATTGATCGTAATTATTTCGGGAAAGAGAAAAATGCTTTATAAAGTAAATTAGGTACATTGGTTACGGTATTTATTACGTTAGTAAAGATAGTAAATTAACAGTAGGCCTACTGTACATTAAATACAATATACAATAAAGGACCACTGTACTGTGTATAAAGTACAGCAATGAAGCGTTCGGATTAGTGGATGTTCGGATTAAAGAGGTTTTACTGTAATATATATTATTATTGACTTCAAACTCTGAAAATTAAATCAGGAAAAAATAAGAAATCATTTTCATAACAACAATTAAAGCTATCAACAAAAACATAGGCCTACCTATAAATATATTTTACAGATTACCTAATTCATAACCTAACCTTAACCGTCCGGTATTTGGTATGTTTACTTTAGAGTTTGGTTAAGTAACTGATGTTAATTGAATTAGCTAAGTTTAATTGTTATTTAAGGTTTAATTGTATGAGGGAGGAAGTAAGTTATTACAATATCAAACAGCTGAAAATTTAAATCATTCACAGCAATTCAAAGTGTAAACAAGAAAAACAATTAAAAATGACAACATTACAAATCCTAACTTAGGATGTTTTTTTTTTTAGTAGATAATAACTTATGGTGTCAGAGAATAAGGAGTGTTTTAATACACGCTAAAGGATATTATAAGTTAAGTCGTTAGAACATAGAAATTTTAACCAGTAGGACTAGCCTAAGTTAATATTTAACATACCTAATTGCCTGGTTTTCTTTCAGCAATCAACGCTCACTAGTTTTTTTAGACAGGTTTGCTAAGGTTGCTGTGTGGTAGGCCTATCAAGTATAACTACCCGACTAAGTTATGGCCGGGTGCGGGTACAATCAATGAGCTGCATGAGTGAGCAAAAATGTTAGTTTTCATCTAAATACGAAAGGTAGGCCTACAGTGACATATAGCATGTAGACCTACTGCCGACCAGTCAGACAACTGAAGGAGTACAGGCCGGATTTTTTCCCCCCGGAATTTTACCCCCTGGCAGGATATATATTAGAAATGATTAATTTTCATATTTCAGTATTTTATTACCTAATTGTAAACATTGTCTTATTAACTAGCCTAACTTTATACATTTATTTTGTAATCTCACCTAGGCCTAACTAAACAGAATTCGCTCTTTAATTTTGATGTTCGGAATTTGCGTTTGGGGCCAAATTTCTATTGGTTGATAAGTATACCTATGTAAAATAAACTGAGTAGCTCATTTGAATGATAATTGGGTGAACATTTCTTCTTAGAGAAACAATACTTAAGGCATATTTTGTTATTGTTACAATATAAACAAAAAACATTGTTTTACCACGGTTGTATAATAAATTTTTAAAGAAATCTTTGAATGAATTACCATTCTGATGTTTGTTTATATACATCATAAGTTGTTAACCAACAGATGGCTTCAAAAATCGATCCTGCCTGATAAGGCCTACTCAAATCTCAAAATTAAAAACCTGTTCGATTAGTTAAAAGTTACAAATAAATTAAGATAGGCTACTTAATAATAAAATGTTTAGACCTACTATTAAAATAAAACTGAATTAAGATAACTAAAACCATTCTCACTAACTTAATTTATATATCTGGCCAGGGGGTAAAATTCTGGGGGTAAAAATCCAGGCCGTACGTTTTGAGATGACCTCATGAAGGGGGTTAAAGACGGGGGGTAAAATATCAGCCCGTACACTCTAGATTTTATAATTTGATGTGTTCTGAATAAAAGTCACAACCGTGAAAATAACTTATTATGTTTAATTCCGCGTTTAATCCATCGAACTGATGTTGCGAAACTCAAAAGCTCGCGACCGGGATCTTACCCCCTGGTTTGTGAAGTCACGTTCACCCAGAGGGTAAAATTCCAGGATGATAAAAATCCGCTACCCATGCCAGTCCCTGTGCACGATCTTCTACAGTACGAGAAACGAGCAGATAGCAATGAATAATATTACCGAAAGATCCTTTGTAGACTAGAGATGTGTCGTTCGGTCATGACCCGTTCGATTTCAACGGATCAGTCAGGTGAACAAGTGATCCGGGTCACACTTAGGCCTATTCAAAAGACCCGTTCAATTCTGATTTCGTTCACTCTAATCAACTGACTGTTTTAATTTTATAACGAAACTCTATTTTAAGAAAAATCGCGTATCTTAATATATTTACTCATAAAAAAAAAACATTATTTATTGAGTTTAAAATATCAATATGGACTTAATTTAGCCTACAAAATAATACAGGATAGAAAATATGTTTTGTGTTGATTCACGTAGTTTACTTTGGTTTCGTTCGGTCTCGGTCTTTTCATTCATTTCGTTCGCCAAGATACGATGACCGAAGAAGTCCGATTGCGTTCGGAATGGCAACTACAGACACAGAACACGGAACGGACCGAACTAACTAATGTGAATTAATGGAACAAAAAGTGGACGATTGGCACTTTCAAGCCTAGGTTCGAACCAATAATATAGTGGCCTAATAATATGTGGCAGTCGACAGACCGGTTCAATTGAACGGGTCTTTTGAACGGGTCGCGGCAGTGAACGAGACCGGTTGACCCGGATCAGTAAAGTGATCCGAACGTCCCATCTCTATTGTAGACAGTATTGCCAAATGCAGGGGCGAAGTAGGCTACCCGGGTCAAGGCCCCACTAGAAAAAACAGGCCATGCTGCAGGATCCATAACGTCACACTAGTGGATAGATTTCATTGATAAATCCATTGCCATCGCCATTCCCATATGTTTTAGGTAAATAAACAAGCTGGCTGTTTGTAAGATTTTAATGGTACAGTAAGAGTTTAGTACAACTATCCACCACTGTGACGTAGTGTTGCGCTGCCCGCGCTGCAGCATGGCCTGTTTTTCTAGTGGGGCCTTGCCCGGGTACAGCAATAACAAAAGAAGAAAAAGGGCATCCAATAAATATTGACAATGTATAGGGCCTAGCCTCAATTTGAGGTTAGGATTCTTTCACATCCAGCTCAGCTGCTGACTCAGGTTGTTGCTATTGCCTGCCGGTTAGGATAATATCCATTTGTAATCATTGGCCTAGGACTTGCATGATCCGATTTCATGACCTAGGGTTACTAGGTCATGAAATCGGATCATGCAAGTCCTAGGCCAATGATTACAAAGGGAACAAATAAAGCAATAAAACATAAGTTAAGTTACTTACGGCTGTAAGAACCCTAAAATCTTCTTTGGTAAGATATCGTAACATAGACACATTAAGTTTCCCCATTTTCAAAAACTAAGTCAAAAAACAAAAGTCAATGGTTGAGGTTAACTAACTGACTACAAAACAACGTGAAGCCGTGAAAGTGAAAGACGAAAGAACAAAACGAACAGAACACCAGCAAAAGCAAAACTCAAAGCTCAGAGCCGCAGACTGAGCGGGTCGCGTTCCGGACAGGCTCAAGGGAGCCATACGTGACGTCAATGGAGTAACCACTTTGTGATAAAAAGTGTATGTACCACTGTTTTTGCTAGTTTTGTTTCAGAGTGTCGTGTTGTTAGGTTGGCCGTGTGATTGGTTGGTGGGACTTGTCACAAAATTAGAGGCAAGATCAAGATGGTGTCATTCTGTTCTTTTGTTGATAGTAAACAAAAATATGTCAACATTATAATTGCACTATAAGTCTGTTTATTTAATTTGCGAGCAACCCATTTTAACAAGATCATAATAAACCGATGGTCGTCCTTTAATCAAATGCCGTAGGGATAAACCATTAAGACTATTCCAATATCTCAAACCAGGAAACGTGACTATTTTCACCATTAATCATAGCTTTAAAATAGGTAAATAAGTTGGTACAGTATTTATTTACTAAAAAAGCAATTTATAATGTTTCAAAATAACATTCACAGGTTGTAACGTGCAATAACTTACATAAGTTTTTGATACAAGTCCTTGAAATAACGGATAACCCCAAATAAATACTATGGTTAGGTTAGAATGAATTGGAATATGACTGCATCCCACCAACCAATCACACGGCCAACCTAACAACACGAAACACCGAAAACAAACCCCAGCAAAAACAGTGGCACGTTTTTTCTCTAATGTTTAACCAGAGATTATAGTGACTCCAGTTATAATCTATTTATATCAATGCCGTAGATACATGACGCCATATTTTAATTATAAAATTTAGAAAAATTAAAAAATATTTTTTTAATTATAATACCCCGCTGCAGCAAAGCTGCCGACTAAGCGAATTTCCATTTGCTGGATTGATTTTCAATTAATCTATTAAATTAATATTTATGTTTAACGAGTGCCTAGGTTAGCTGCTACAGGGACAACTAATTAAGTGTATTTTTTATTAAAATATCAATAGCTTAGTATGAAATAAATAAATCCGCCAAGTTTGATCAAAATATATCCATAAACAAGCCAACTACTAAACAACCTTTTACAAGGTTCTCCATAAAAAACATGGGAATTTTAAATTATTTTTTTTTCTCCGTAACCAATTGCCGTACAAAAAAAAACTTTGATATACTAAACTATTTGTTTTTTAAGCTCTTTAGAAAGGTCTGGAGAAATGTTGATAAATTTTGTGTTTTAAGCGATGGCCTCTGGGCACCTCAAAACGAAAAAGTAAATCGGTCCTGGGTCTAGGTCTAACCATGAGACCTACGGTAATAGCTTATTCCCTATATGGGACATTTGCTAAAAATAATATTATGTTTGAGAACGAATTTGGATTCGTAAAAGGGACATTAACCACCTATGCAATGTTTACCCTTATCACAAAAGAAGTACGGGCTCTTGACTCATGAGGAGGAGAGAATGCATTAGGGCTTTTATTTGACCTGAGTGAAGCCTTCGATTTGCTCATAATTAAATCTATTGGAGTGAGGGGCTGGCACAGGAGTGGTTCTCCTCATACCTTCGAAAAAGAGAGCAATTCGTTGAGGTCAGAGGAGTTGACGGCTCTGGGTATGCTCGAGCATAGCCATCACATGTGTATAGAGAAGGCTATGGCTCGACTCTTTGTCTCCTCTCGGGACATCATCACTTGTAGGGTGCCCCAGGATCTGGCCTCATCTGTGCTGTTTTTTATTTGTATCAATGAAATTGCCTTCAAGTATTGAGGCTGGAGAAATCTGTCTTTTTGCGGATCACACGTCTTTCGCCCTGTCTGGCTCAACTGCCGAAGAGTTGGAATTAAAATTGTTTCTTGAATTAAACAACATAAAGCAGTGGTTTGACTCCAATTTATTAAATCTCAATCCCAACAAAACTGAATTGCTTCGTTTTTCCATCCAAGGCAAGGTGTTAAGCTCCTTGGTTTAATATTAGACAAACCCCTTCGTTTTTATGGCCATGCCGACAGTGTGAGCATGAAGGTGGTTCCAGCATCTTTCTGTTAAAAAAATTACTGTCCATTTTTTTCTGATCAGCCTATTATGTGGCCATCTTCCCTCATCTTGTATACGCAGTGCCGGCATGGGGACATGAGAATAAAAGAACTCGATTTCTATTTCGACTTTAAAAGAGAGAAATTCGAACTTGTTCAAAATCAGCTCACGAACTTCCTGGGAAAAAATTTCAGTCTTCAAATATTTAAACTTTTTCATGCATATCCATCATTGACACCCTCTCTTTTCTAAAAAAAATAATATTTATATTTTAACAGGTTCCAGGTCATGTTCATATTCTTTGTGAAACAATCTGAATCTACAGAAGCCAAAGCATTCGCCACTTTAAAAAAAATCAAATAAAAACATCTTTATTACAACGGTATAGTGCTTTTCATCAATGCTTTGCCAAACTATCTAAAAATTGAGTCAAACACTGTTATTTAAAAAAAAAATCACTTCCAAAATTACTACTGTCTAAATGATACTACCGTGTCCGTAATTTTATTACTGGCTGGTAGTCATGGGCATATGGTGTGCTTTATTTATGAATTGTTAAATATTGTTTCAGTTAAAAGTTACCTTATAGCATTATAGTAATAAGACAAGTTGTATTTTTTATGTATATCTGACTAAGCCAATGCATTTATGTAAATATGGTAAAATAAATTACTTATGACTTAAAGTTGTCGTAAAAATTAAACTCTAGTTCAATTTTAATTATTATTTCAATTTGTTTACTGATATCAATATCAACGAGTGGCTGACAGTTCTTCCACTTCGTTCTGAAATTGAAATTTGAAGCCTTTGCGATAAGGGCAGCCTATTGCAATTGCCTCTGGAGTCTTCTTCGATTTGCGGAAGGCCTTTGACATGGTTTCGCACGATCTTTTGCTTGAAAACTTGACATCATTGGAATACGAGGTGTGGCTAATCAGTGGCTGTCTTCTTATCTTAGGGGACGGATACAAGCCGTCCAATTGCCATTTGTTGACAAAAACATTCTAAAAAAGTGTTATTCAAACGTTTTGCTGGTCAAAGCTGGGGTGCCTCAGGGCTCAATATCGGGGTCTATTTTATTCATCTTATACATAAATGACATCAGAAATAGTGTATTAGATAACCATTTTGTGATTGTTTGCCGATGGCACGTCAATTGTTGTTGATAAAACCACCCACGGTTCCATGGAAGTATCTACTTTTCTTGAGTCTAACAGCGTTGTCCAATGGTTTCTTGACAATGGTCTTGTCATAAATAATGGCAAGACCACTTTGGTGGACTTCAGCATATCGTCAAGACATCGCACTGATCTCAGTGTTTGGATTGACGACACTATAGTATCTTCGAAGACCAATTAGAAATTTTTAGGGCTTCACATTGACGAAAACCTTAAGTTCTCATGTCAAACTGACAACGTTGACCAAAAGGTTAATTCTGGCATCTTCGTGTTACGTCGCCTTGCTCCTTTCACAGATAAAACAGTTCTTCTATCTGCTTACTATGCGGTTGTTTTGCCCTATTTGTCATACGCCGTCACTATCTGGGGATCTGAGACATCTACAACAAAGCACATCTTTGCGCTTCAAAAGGAGGCTGTACGGCTCATTGCTGGCATTCGCCAGAGAGGGTCTTGTAGATCAGCTTTCGTCAAATTAAGACTTCTTACTTTTCCCTGCATTTACATTTTCAATACCTTAACTTTTTTAAACAAAACCATAGTTTTTTTTACCTTTGTTTCCCTAATCCAGATACAACATTAGAACAAAATCCAAATTGAATATCCCATACCACAAAACCTCCTTTTAAAAAAAAACATGCTTTTTATAATGTCATCATGCTATATAACTCACTGCCTGACAATCTTAAGTCAGTTAGTGATATTAGGGAATTCAAACGTAATCTCAAACTATTTCTTTTAGAAAGTATTTTTTACAGCGTAAAAGATTATGTTAACTAAAACTCATCATAAATATGTTGTATTTGTTTCAGGCATGATATGTTTCTGTAAATGTGTAATGGTGTATCTATGTCATTGCTTATTATGTATTTTATTTCAAAATTGTGACGCAAGCCGTGCATGTTAACTGGCAATAAAGGAATATTTTATTTGAATTGATTTGATTTGAGTGAATGTCTTCATTTACTGAGGCAGAGGTCTCTTACACACGCTATTGGGTCCATGCAATAGATGGAATTCCTAGATCGTGATAATGTATCTTCCAAGCTCGTTAACAGATGTACTGGATCATGGATTTTACTTGCTATGTGCGTAAAAATGTGTTCTTACATAATATATTTATCTGTTTTAGATTTCGATGTACCGAACTCAATGCACGCTCAATTAGCTTAATATACAAATCACTATTGCTGACTTTCCCCCTTTAAATTGGGATTAAAACTAATGGAATTATATTACGAATTACTTATTAGTAAACACCTATTACACAAATAATATAATATTTATTGAATATTGTAACTCTTAAAAGTGTAAATAATTAACCTAGATATACTACCTACTATATATTAAACAACATTTTTTAAACACGGGTTGTGGTTTTTGACATGCATTCCTTTGTAAGATGCATATGAATGAAACGCTATACTTCAAATACAGCTGGACGATCCATATATAAATAATCCCAAAGTACACATGCACTTTTGAGAAAACTACAAGTCACGCCCCCATAAACCATATACTTAAAATGTTCGCCATGACGAGAAACCTTGCGCAAAACTCAATCATCATCAATTATTTCACAAATTGCCCTTTAAGGTCGTAATTCCTTTCTAAAGGGAACTTTCCATGTACCTAATGTTAAAAATACCTCAACTGTACTTATTTGTATGTTATTCTTTCAATTTATTACTTTATTAAAATCAAAGTGTGATTATTTGTTTATCCTACTGTATTCTGTTTTGTTAATTTCGAAGCTTAACTTAA